TTTACTGTGAACTCACTTGGAGGCATTGTGATTTTAATTGACCATTGTTTTATGGCTAATGTAGAAATGCCCGATTTTATTTTGGAAGATTTCTTTTCAGCCAGGCTGCAGAGTATATAATGTTTGATGATCACATCACCGGGTGTCTAAATCGCTGTGTCCTAAAGCAGCTCTGCGCTCTGTCCTGAGTGTCACTGGAATCATTGGCTGATGTTTATACCTGGTGCCTGCCTTGCTCTAGTAGCCGGGTACCCAGGAGCACCTTTGAGCTCAGTGCTTATCAAAGTGGGGCCCAAGAGCCAGGCTAGGCTGCAAGCTATTGTTTCTGGTCCATCACAAGATAAGTACAGAAATTGAGAGGAGCGTTCAGAAACTCTTACAACAATTTGACAGTGTGATTTTATGTCTGTCAAATCTAACAATAAACACTGGAGGCTTTATCTTGATGTCTTCTTAAATTTATTTTCTTAGTTATTCATTTTTATTGCATTTTACAAAAGTATCGATCTATGACGGAGTGGAAAAAGAAAACCGGTCTTTCACCACTGACAGATTGAGCCGTACTGGTTTGGCTACTGCAGGTACATTGGTCAGCGAATGTCAGGGTCTCCCCACCCACCTGAGACTCGAGGCATTACTGATTGTAAAAGGGAAGATTAGGGAGGCTGTAGGAATTTTTATCTTTTGTTAAGTTTTCATTGTTCCTCTTACAACATTTCTTTGAGCATCTCTTCCGTGGGTTAGAGGAAAGCTCCTGGGAGGGTGAATTTTGCAGCGTCTCCTCCAGATGGGGGTGCTGAGATTCGCCTGAACGTGGCAGGCGGCAGCCGGCTGAGCAAGCGCGGGGCAAGCGCGGGGCGGTGCTCCTGCCACTCCCCTGGGACAGCCACCGCAGCCAGGGCTGCCCCTCCATCTGGTAGGGAAAGGATCAGTGAGCTCATGTCTGGGGAATGTTCTGGAGTTCTGTGGAGAAAAGGCAGAGGCCACCCACACGTGCCACCTTGTGCTAAGGAAGGAGAGCTGCGGACCGAGGGGAAAAACCGGGACAAGAAAATCAAGAATTGAGTAATCTCTCGACTTCGCTGCAGTCCCTGGGGTCGCCTGCTCTTGTGGCCTTGACCTGTTCTCCCAAATGGAAGTTTTGAGATGTGATGGCGGAGACCGAGTGAGGGAGGCTGGTTTGCCTTTTCCACTGCCGGGAACTTCTCCCCCGGGATATCCACGAGGCTCCCTCTCTCTCCTTTTTCAAGTCTTGGTTTAAATGTGGCTTTCTCCATGAGGCCTCTGTGGCCCTTTCCCCTACACACTCCATCCCCTTTGCCCTTTTATGTTTCCCTGCAGCATGTATCATCTAACACTGCCGTCCCCAGCCCCTGGGCTGCGGACTGGTACCGGTCCATGGCCTGTTCGGGACAAGGCTGCAGAGCTCCGCAACCCCCATCCCCGGTCCATGGAAAAATTGTCTTCCACGAAACTTCCGAAGGGGGAAGGGGGCACAGCAGCAGGGAAGCCAAGCAAAGCTCCATCTGTATTTACAGCCGTTCCCCATCGCTGGCATCGCCGCCTGAGCTCCGCCTCCCCTGCCCTACCCCGCTTCCTTGCCCTCCCTCCCTTGCCCCCCAACCCCGGGGAAAAATTGTCTTCCATGAAACCCGTCCCTGGTGCCAAAAAGGTTGGGGACCACTGATCTAACATACTGAGTCTATATATTCTGTTAACCAAAAAAGTAAAAAATAAAAACAAAACCCAAACTCTATAAAGTAATTTCAAGAGGTTTATTCCGAGCTGAATCCATGTGACTGGCCCAGAGCACATGGCCTCAAGAGGTCTTGAGATAATGTGCCTTGGCAGCCAGGTCAGAGTTTGGTTTTATACATTCCTGGAGGCAGGAATTCCACCTGAGATCGTAAGTCAATCCCCAGAAGGTGTACGTTAGTTTGGCCTGAAAAGGTGGGATGTCTCGAAGGGGGAGGGGTTTCCAAGTTACAGGTGGGTTTAAAGATTCTTTGATTTGTAATTGGTTAAAGAAATGAAGCTTTGTCTAAAGGCTTGGAATGTTTGAACTTATATACCAAAAGTTATGTGATCTGTTAAGTAAATTGATCGCCCGCGGGTGTGGTTTAAGCTATGTCTTGCAAGGCCTGCTAATGATTTAGTGTCTTACTGTAACAAAGAGTGACTCCAAAAGGAGTCACATCTGACCTCCCTTCTCCTCATGGCTGGTAACTCGGCTTCGAGGTTTTTATGGTGTCCCCTTGGCCAATAGGGGGTCCATGCATTCAGCTGGGGGGCTTAAGATTTTATTTTAGTTCATAATTTTATTGTAATACTATGTAATTAATGTCATGTCATCGATTAGATGCAAGTTTACAAGGGCAAGATTTTTGTCTGTATTGTTTGCTGCTGTATTTCCAGGTCTAAAACAGTGCCTGGCACATGCCGGGTGCTCAATAAATATTTGTTATGTAAATGAATGAATGAATAATCAACAATGAAGGGGCAGGATCGCAAAGGCGCCAACCGTGTCCAAGGAGGCCTTTGCCATGTCCACACAGCTCTGTTCACCTACTATATGCTAAGCACTGTGGTAGGATTCTGTGTTCATTATTTAAGGATCCAATCACCCCATGCGATATGTATTGTTAGCTCCATTTCATAGATGGGGAAACTTAAGAGGTTAAGAAACTCATGCACGGTCACCCAACCCAGTAAGTGGCAGAACTGGGATGCAACTTAGTCGGCTTCCTTCCGTCCAGAAAATTTCCAAGATCAGTCACTTGGTCACAGAGTCTCTTGTTTCTTTGCTTTCCTACCTACAAAATGGGAATTCATTTTCCTCATCCATCACCAAATTTTATCTTATGAGAACAAACATTACTCAAATATTACAAGATATGAGTTTTACAAATATGGGGCTGAAAAATTAGATGGAGTTATTGAGTAATGTTCACCAATAACATTGGTGGAGTGGAGAGCAGGGCTTGATTAAATCCAGCCAATGGGGATGAGTTTTTTTCTATGCAAGACTGTTCCAGGCACTGGTTCCAGTGACGCTACTTGCTGCTGTTATTCAAGATCTCTCCCTAGGCTGAGACCGTAACCTCTAGACTCAGCTTATTGTCTCTCATTTTAAAAATATTTATGGGAGCATCTACTAGGTGCTTGGGAGAGGTCAGTAGAGAGAACAGAGTCCTTGCCCTTCATGGAACTTGTATTTCAGTAAGGAGAGGGAGGCAGGAAATCAACAGTGAGCAATAAACCATAAAGGAAATGATATGGTATGTTAAAAGATGGCAAGTGCTCTAGATAAAGGAAAGGTGGTGCAGGGGAAGGTCGCAGTGTTAAATTGAGTGGTTGAGGAGGGCCTTGTTGAGATGGAGACCTTTGAGCAAAGACTGAAAAAGGTGAGGGCATGAGCCAGAGGCTGTCTGGAGGGAAGCATTCCAGGAGAGAGAACAGTGCCCTGGTGCTGAGATGGGATCATGCCTGGTAGGTGTGGGGGACCCAAGGAGGTGAGCAAGAGGTAGAGACAACAGGATACCCCAGCAAATGGAATACAGGAGGTAAGATAAAGTGGGGAGTCAGGGATAAGCAGAGATTTAATCTTTATGTTCTTTCCCTTTTATTCCTTTTGTAGTGCCTAATATAGTTTCCTATTCCTGAAAGTATTAGCACTGAAGTCTTTGGAAATGTAGCCACTGCAGGTGTGCTAGCACCCTAACGTCTGCGGATTTGGGTTTCTTCAGCTGTACCATGAAGGAAATCTAGGACATGATCTTTAACATCCCTTGTCTGACTCTTTTTTGAATGATTCCCTCCCAGGAGTCATGTTCTGATCTCTTCCTTCCCTCCCTCCTTCCCTCCTTCCTTCCTTCCTTCCTTCCTTCTTTCCTTCCTTTATTCACCATGAGTCTTTAGAACACTCATGGGTACACAAGCACTGTCTGGAGCAACACACATAGAAGTAGAGGAAGTCGAAAACAGAATCTCTGCCTTTCAGTAGCTTGTGATCTCTTCTTGCTAAGGTTTGAGAAGAAGGTGATAAGTCAGGTGAGAATTAGAGCAAGTCACAGTTAGCAACGTAAGAACAGCATGGTAGAACAGGAAGCCGTGTGAGCAAGGGGGAATGTGAGTGAAAGGCTTGAGTAGGTATAGAGATGGGGACAATCAGGAATTTGAGGCTCAGGGAACCTGGAAAAGGGACAGGAGTGTGGCAAAAGGTGTGTGTGCTCTGGGAAAAGGGGTGATGAGGCTGTGAGATGAAGCTGGATTGAAAGGGGAGGCTGATGGAGAACCTGCCCCACCGTCTCTGGGTCTGGGCAGGAGGTGGATCTTAAGAAAAGGATGATGTCATGAAGATGGGAATGGCAAGATGGGAATGGCTGTTGGGTACTGTGGGAACTAGAGTAAGGAAATACGGAGATGGGAAAACCAGCCCAGGAGACTGTTGAGTTTCCTCTGGATCCTGGTTTCAGAAATTGTTGCACATCACTGACTTCTTCTCTGGCTGCCTCCTGGAATTGTAAGCAAAACCCTGGGCATTGAAGTAGCAAAGAAAAACTCATTAAACAAGATATATTTGAAGGGGGGCAGGGAACCTATCTAAACAAGAAATCGAAGCTTTTCTTATGTTATTGACCTAAATTTTACAATTGAACTCTATATCCATTTTTAAGATTTTTTAGTGATAAGCTCTTAAAAAAGTTTTTTTTTTGACAAGTCAAATAAGACTGCCTCCTCCATTACTTGTCTAAGTGCCCTCTGTAAGCCATTCTGGAAGCAAAGAACTTCTCCAAATTGAGGTTCATGGCCAACTTCAATTTCCTCCATCCCATTGTAGCGGCACGATTTGTACACTTGCCACCTTCATGTATGTGTTTACTCTGATGGGTTTTGTGTGGTTCAGCTGGGTTTGGGTGCCAGCGTCAATGAGCCCAATAAAGCCCAGCATTTATTCACTCCACCATTTCTGATTGTATTTCATGTGTTGATATTTCCAGGCTAATCTTGCACAACTGTTGAGAGATTCTCAGGACCGAAATAAACATCTGGGAGAAGAAATTAAAGAACTTCAGCAAAGGCTTGGAGAAGTCCAGGGCGACAATAAGGTAGGGTGAATATTTGAAGGGAAAAAGCTCTGCTGCATAATTATGCGTTGGAGGTTTATGTTTATGTAGCACATCAGAAAAAATGCAATGCAGCATTTGTTGAAAAATTTGTTATAGATTTTTAGATTTATAATGAAAATTCACAGTTTAACATTTCTTATCTTCATTACATTTCCTTTGTGTGTTTGTGTGTGTGTGTGTGTGTTTGTATATACGTGCATATGTGTTTGTTTCTGGGTGGCTCTAAAATATTGTCATAACCCATTGTAGAAGTTTCATTATGTTCAGTTTGGTGGTGAATAACATTGTGGTTGAGGGCAAAATAAAACCCAAATGCTATACTTTCCCCACTTCTATACAAATAATGGATTTGTGGCTCAGCTGATTTGGAATTATTCACATTTGGTTTTGAATTTTAAGTAGTCATCCAACTAATTATGTTCACATAACCAATTTATTTTATTGCTAAATTTGGCAATTTGTATGGAACATTGCTCAAAATCCACTGCTTGGTATTAATCAAACTCCCCTGTTGGCAACGTTAATTATAAAATATGAACTCATAAACTCCAAACTAAATGTGTGCACTCTCTCTCCCAGCTGAAGCTATGAACAAAAGTACAATGGAGAAAGGAAAGAAAAACTACCAAAGTTTAATTCTGTCCCCCCAAATAATTTCCCATTTTGCCAAGATTGATTCATTTTCAACTCCTTGCCGGAGGCAGCTCTTGCAACAGAGATGGTGTTGGAGTTTGACTCAGGAAAACTATATTGTGCGTATGTGTGTTGAAAGGGGGCCTTCTTGGGGAAATGTATTTTATATGTTACCAAATTCCGTGACAAATGATGGTGATTTTCATTGTTGTTGGGAGTTGTTGGTTATTAGAAGACGCCATTTTGAAAGATTCTCTTTTAAAAGATTCTCATTTTGAAAAGACTCTCTTTTAAAAATGTACAGAATTGTCTGGGTCGTGCAGAGAACTCTCCCATGCGTAAGATCAGAGAGGCCTTTGTACATGCTGTTGGATCTAGAGGCCCAATCTGAGGGCATATACTTACCTGGGAAACCAACTTTACATAGATTCTTCTCCACTTAATCTGACTTAATTTTTTTTTAACCTTTTAGATTTAACATAAATTTGAAAAATTAGGCTCTACCATTCCCGGTCATGACGTAGAGGGTGGAAAGATGCCCAGGAAAGGTTCTAATTAACCCTGGACAAGCTAATCAGCTCGTGTGGTTCCATGCATCAGTGAGAGGACGTAAGCTCTGTAACCGAGGTGTTTGGTCAGTAATTAAAGGCCAGACCTTCTTAGTCACTTCCTCAAGTGATGGCAGCAGGGCAAGGTGTTCTAAAGAATAAAATGAAATGTGTACAGTTGTTTTTCTTTAAGCCCATGAAAATACTAGAGGCATTTTGGAGACCTTGTAAACCGACAAAATGCTGAAACATTTTGAAATGTGACTTTTGGATTCATGGTTCTTCTTGACTGATAATTTTTTTTCTATTTTATTTCCTGTTTTCTTTTTCTGAGCTATACCTTCACCCCAACTTTCCTAAATATGCTTGTGTCTCATCTCTTGGTTGCTTTTAATTTTCTTTGCCGTTTAGGTGTGAGAATTTTCGGAGTTGACTTTTGCCGCTGATATTTCATGGAAAGAAAGGGAGGGCACGTGTGCGTGTGCAAGCGTGTGCGTGTGCATATGTGAGTCTGTGCGCACGTTTGCGTGTGTAACACTGAGCACAGATTGGGGCCTCCCTTGCTTTGTCACAGTCTGAACTTCGTGATTTGCTTGCTGTCTGAGTCTTTATTCCAGTAGCTGGACACATTTATCAAACTTTGTTTTCTTACCCAAGGTTTGGAATTTAGTGACTTACGTTCATGGCCTGTGAAGCAATTTGCCTGCCAAAAGGTGCAGGGAGGACGTTCTTATGTTCAGGTATCTGGCCTCTCCCCACCTCAAAAAGAGACTAACCCAGCCAGCGAGACCCAGAGGTCCCATTTATTCTCATTTGCACTAAAGTCATTGGGCTGGTTTATTTTCAGGCCTGTGTGAGTCACAGCCATCCCCCCCTCCCCCACCTCCAGTCCTCAACATTAAGGCCAGATTACTCATCCTATAATGACACCAGGCTTCTTGACAAACTCAGAAGCCCCTGTTCAAAGGTAGCTGTGACTGTGTGGTAGAGAATGAGTTAACCCTTTGGGGTTTTTTTGTTTTTAAGAGACAGTGGTCTCCCTGTGTTGCCCGGTCTGGTCTCCAACTCCTGGGCTGAAGCGATCCTCCTGCCCCAGCCTCCCGAGTAGCTGGGACTACAGGCTCGTGCCACTGCACCCAGTTCGTTTTGCTTTTTTTTTTTTTTCCTCAAAGCCAGTCAAATTTAGCAGTGGGGGGTGGTTATAGACCAACTTTAGTGACACTAATGTTAATAAGTTCTGATAACCCACTACCACCCAACCAGCCTTTATTTTTGTTTTTGTTTTTGTTTTGTTTTGTTTGAATCATCACGTCACCTGCTGCTCCAACACTTCCACCGCCTACTGGATCCAGTTCCACCTCCTCATCATGGTGTTAGCCTCCATGATCTTTCTCCAGCCACATCCTTGCTACTAGTCACCTCATACTTGAGCCCTAGAGTGCTAATTTCAGCCCCTTTTCTGTACCCTACTGCCTGCTGACTGAGGACCTTTGCACCAGCTATTTGCTCAATCTGGAACACTCTTCCTCTTTACTTTCCTGGCAAGCTCCTGCTTATCTTTTAGGTCACAGGTCAAATGTAGCCCTCTCCACCTCTTAGGTGTCAGTCCTGTGCTGCTTGCAGTGCCTGGCTCTGCCCCTCTACTAACACCTTTGTGGCACTCCCAGCCCCAAGGGTAAGCTCTTTGCAGGCTGCATTTTGTGTCCTAAAAATTAGAATTCTTAGTTCCCAATGCATAGAAAATATTTAATCTTTATTGAAGGAACAGAATGGAATAAAGGAATGAGTGAATGAATAAAATGAATGAACAAAGGGAATGACAAGAATAGCAAAAGGATTCAAGGAGGAGGAAGAGAGAAAGGAACGAAGCATACAAGAAACAAACAGCAGACTGACTGCCATCTGGATGTCATCAGTACCTCGCTTTGGCGTAAGGAGTGGTTTAGGAATTTGGAGAAAGGAGCTAGGAAAGCAAACCGTTCCAACAGGGGAAAGAAAAACAGCCCAAGGCGCAGAGGCTGGGAAGCCCCTGCGGAGAGAGCAGAGGCTCTGATGCTGAGCCTTGGGGGACAAAGGACCAATGTCCTGCTCTTTGGCTGGTTCAAGCCTGTTAAATTCAGGAATACTGACTAATTGTTGTTGTTGGACTCCGAACTCTGATGCCACCCGGGAGGGCTGATGGCACCATTTGATGAGTGACTGTTAGAGTGGAAGATTTTTATCTCTGAGTTGCCATTGTAACTGCTGACCTTTATCCATATTTTGGGAAGCCCAGATTCTAGATGTTAAGTACATTTAAGAAACAAGGTGATAGGAAATTACTTGCCTTGGATATTTTAGGGTAGACTAATTTTTCCATTTGTTCAGCTAGAGCCTTGTAACCCTACGTGCCATAAAGCATTTCCAAACAGCCTCTTGAAAGATTTGCTGCCACCCTGGCTTTGAAGCAGTTTAGCACTCACGTGGGGTGGGGGCGGGGAGTCCCGTGCCAGGATGGGCACCAGTGACGGGGGGCCTGGGTGATCAGTCACCTCCTGCGACCACTCTGTCCAGTGCCCAAGAATTTCTCGGGCTCTCCAGCTAACACAAATCCCCAAGCCAAAACCAGATGAGAGGTGTGAAGAGGGAAACCTACTAGATACCCTCCCCTTCCTTAAAAAGTCCAGTTCTTAAAGGTTAAAGAGGAAAGAGGAGCCCTCTGGGGACGACGCTGCTCACTTTGACACAGATCACCCTGGAAAAGCTTTGCAGGTTGCCCAGGGCTGTCAGCCTGTGAGGAATAAAGACCAGTTGTGTGGAAAGAGTCGGACAGTGCTGAGGCCTCACGTTGCAAAAGAGCCCGTGGAGCCAGCTGCACTCCCCTTGCCGCCCCAGAGGCCTGCCTGCTCCCTCTTCTGGGCATTAAGAAAAGAGGAAATTCAGGGACAGGGGATCAGAGGGGAAAAGGGGTCTCTGACAATCTAAGGATCAGTAAATCAACCAACAAAACTAGCAGGGCACATTTGAATCACAGAGACAGTAGTCCCCCACTTACCTGTGGGGGTGCCTTCCAAGACCCCCGTGGATGCCTGAAACCAAGGATAGGACTAAACTCCGTTGCTGTCAGTCGGGGCACGCTTGTGTTCATGTCTTTCAGCCACAAACGTAAAGCCTTTTCCCTCTTAGCTAAGCACTTATCACACACTGTGGCCATAACGTTTGCAGTTTGAGGTACAGCAGCAAAACTAGCAAAATTTCTTTTTCCTCTACAATTTCACGGATAGAAGATTCATTCCTACCATAGATCTTAGCAACCGCAGATGTGGGATTTTTTTCCTTTCCTTATTAAGTCAAGAACTTTCACCTTTTCACTTGAAGCACTTTATGGCTTCCCTCTGGCATATCCAAATTGCCAGCTTCACAACTCTAGCCGCTCGGGGCCATTACTAAGTATAGTAAGGGTTCCTCGAACTCAAGCGCTGCACTGCAGTACCACGGCGGCTGATCTGATAAGCAAGAAGGCTACTAAGCGAGTAAGGGGTGGGGAGCACAGACAGTGCAGAGACCCTGGACAAAGGGATTCACGTCCTGGATGGGACGAACTGAGATGGTGCATGATTTCATGATGCTACTCAGAACGGCATGCAGTTTAACACTTATGAATTGTTTACTTCTGGAACTTTTCATTTAATATTTTCAGACTGCAGTTGACTGTGGGTAGCTAAAACCAAGGATCAGGGAGAACTACTGTGCTCAGAGGACTGACCGAGAACGAGCGCTCTGAAAGAAGCAGCCCAGCTTGTAGCACTTTGCCATGGT